GGGGGGGGGGGGGGGGGGGGGGGGGGGGGGGGGGGGGGGGGGGGGGGGGGGGGGGGGGGGGGGGGGGGGGGGGGGGGGGGGGGGGGGGGGGGGGGGGGGGGGGGGGGGGGGGGGGGGGGGGGGGGGGGGGGGGGGGGGGGGGGGGGGGGGGGGGGGGGGGGGGGGGGGGGGGGGGGGGGGGGGGGGGGGGGGGGGGGGGGGGGGGGGGGGGGGGGGGGGGGGGGGGGGGGGGGGGGGGGGGGGGGGGGGGGGGGGGGGGGGGGGGGGGGGGGGGGGGGGGGGGGGGGGGGGGGGGGGGGGGGGGGGGGGGGGGGGGGGGGGGGGGGGGGGGGGGGGGGGGGGGGGGGGGGGGGGGGGGGGGGGGGGGGGGGGGGGGGGGGGGGGGGGGGGGGGGGGGGGGGGGGGGGGGGGGGGGGGGGGGGGGGGGGGGGGGGGGGGGGGGGGGGGGGGGGGGGGGGGGGGGGGGGGGGGGGGGGGGGGGGGGGGGGGGGGGGGGGGGGGGGGGGGGGGGGGGGGGGGGGGGGGGGGGGGGGGGGGGGGGGGGGGGGGGGGGGGGGGGGGGGGGGGGGGGGGGGGGGGGGGGGGGGGGGGGGGGGGGGGGGGGGGGGGGGGGGGGGGGGGGGGGGGGGGGGGGGGGGGGGGGGGGGGGGGGGGGGGGGGGGGGGGGGGGGGGGGGGGGGGGGGGGGGGGGGGGGGGGGGGGGGGGGGGGGGGGGGGGGGGGGGGGGGGGGGGGGGGGGGGGGGGGGGGGGGGGGGGGGGGGGGGGGGGGGGGGGGGGGGGGGGGGGGGGGGGGGGGGGGGGGGGGGGGGGGGGGGGGGGGGGGGGGGGGGGGGGGGGGGGGGGGGGGGGGGGGGGGGGGGGGGGGGGGGGGGGGGGGGGGGGGGGGGGGGGGGGGGGGGGGGGGGGGGGGGGGGGGGGGGGGGGGGGGGGGGGGGGGGGGGGGGGGGGGGGGGGGGGGGGGGGGGGGGGGGGGGGGGGGGGGGGGGGGGGGGGGGGGGGGGGGGGGGGGGGGGGGGGGGGGGGGGGGGGGGGGGGGGGGGGGGGGGGGGGGGGGGGGGGGGGGGGGGGGGGGGGGGGGGGGGGGGGGGGGGGGGGGGGGGGGGGGGGGGGGGGGGGGGGGGGGGGGGGGGGGGGGGGGGGGGGGGGGGGGGGGGGGTGGGAATTTAGAGGGGTAATTGGTTGGACTCAGGTGTGGGGAGGGGGGGGGGGGGGGGGGGGGGGGGGGGGGACTCATGACAGACAGATACGGGGGTGGATGGTATTGAGAGTGGGCACAGGATGATGGGGGGGGGGGGGGGGGGGGGGGGGGGGGGGGGGGGGATGGGGGGGGACACATAAGGGGGGGGGGGGGGGGATTAGATGATAGGGTGATCTAGAGATGTGGGGGGGGGCACGGTGTGTGGAGGAGGGTATCTATGGGGGAGTGATGTGTGTGTTCCTCTGTGAACTGTTGAAAACGCGTTCTGTGTGGGTGTGGGGGTTTTTCTACAGGTGGTGTGCTGTATTGGTGGGGTAGATAAGTTTATGGGTGGAGGGAGAGGGGATAGGGGGGGTGTGAGTGGAGGGAAGTGGGGGTGAGAGTGAGTGTGTGTAGTGAATGAGGGGGCGGGGAGGGGGGAACAGGAGGTGGTTGGGTGTGATGGATATAGCATGGGGGATGGTATGTAGGGATGATCGGACTGATCTCTCTCTTATAGGTGAGGTAAGACTGTGTTTTATGTTTTGTGGTTTTGTTTAGATAGGGGGGGGGTATTGGGGTAGAGGTATTGGGAGGTTTGAACATAGTTAAAAGTTGTTGTGCATTCTGGTTTTTTCATCGTTTGTTTTCTTACTGCGACTTTAGGCGGGAGGGGGGTTTAATCTTTTATTTGCCCAGTTTTCTACTCTAACAGATTGCAAAAGCCCTATATTTGTTCCAAAGCATTTTCTCTGCTTTTTTGTGATTTTTGTTTGTGATTCAAGACAGTTAAACAAAGTTTTTAGTTTTGTCTGCTAGCAAAGATGGACCACGACTACAACCTGAAGGTACCACATGAAAAACCTTTTTCTGATGAGTTGGAAGTTGAAGAATCTCCTCTCAGTGAAGACATAGTTCTGTCCAAAGAAGACAAAGTTAACTGGGACCACACGCCCATTAAAAGTAAAAAAGCAAAGAGAACTAAGGTTCAGGACAGCAGTCAAGCTAACGAAGACACCGTCAACGCCATACTCGAGGGCATACAGGCGCTTACCCAGAAGGTGGACGACCAAACCCAACGTTTCATACGATTTGAAAAGAAGATGGAAGAAAACACTGCAGCGATTGAGACTAATAAGAGGGGTATTATGGAACTCCAGTCCAAAGTCAAATTTTTACAGAAAGAAAATTCAGCCCTGAAGACAGCCTGTGATGAGCACGGCCGTTACAAGAGAAGATGGAACCTGCGATTGGCCGGCTTACCCGAAAAGGACGACGAGAACGTACGAGAAACTGTCATTGGGATCCTAACGCGCATCCTCCCTGTGTCGGTAGATTGTCTACGGGACACCGTGGACACCGTTCATCGGCTTGGCAAAAGAGAATCAGCCGCCACCTCGAACGGCGTTCCCAGAGCTGTCATCATTCAGTTCGGGATGAGAACAGTCCGAGACGAGGTCTGGAAGAAGTCTAAGGATGCCAGGGTTTGTAAGGAGCTTCACATCAGCTTCAAAGAAGATTTCTCCAAAGAAGACCGCGTAGCCCGTGCCAAGCTGTGGCCGCTGGTGCAAGAGGCCCGGAGACAAGGGAAGCGAGCGTATTTGAAGGAGGGCTTCGCGCTGATTGACAACAAACGAGTAGATGTGGACTAACATCTACTCCTCATTGATTCCTAGAAGGTTTGTTTTCACACCGGTTCATATAGGACTATTTGTACTACACACAAGATGTGGCAAGTATAGTTACTCACTCCTGCGCATCTTCCCTGTTTGTTTTTTTTGCGCACTTAAACACAATTGACTGACTGCTCATTTATGTTATCGTTATTATCGTTAAATGCAAGGGGACTAAAAGATATCACTAAACGTAAGGCAACTTTTCTTTTCTGTAAGGAGCAGAAGGTGAACTGTATTTTCCTGCAAGAGACTCATTCTGAAAAAGAAGACATACAGTTTTGGAAACAACAATGGGGAGACTCTGTTTATTTCAGTCATGGCACATCGCATTCATCTGGAGTGATGATTTTTCCTGGGACAATAATAGACTTTAATAGTGACACAAACGGTCATTGGCTTATGGTAGTGGTTGAAATAGAAAATTCCAGATTTATTATAATTAACGTAGATGGCTACAATGTTAAATCCCAGAAAAAGATATTCTATGCAGATTTGTGTGAGAGAATTATACAATGGAAACAAACATATCTGAGTGATAACATTATACTTGGGGGTGACTTTAATTTAGTACCAAATAATGCAGTGGATAGGCTCCCCACTAGGGAGCAGCATAACGCCTTTGATTGACATATTTTTGGATTTGATTCACAATACTGGCTTAATTGACTGTTGGAGATTAAGAAACAGTATTACAAGACAATACACTTGGTTCAATGCTTCCAATAATGGTCAGTGCTCGAGGCTGGACTATTGGCTCATACCACACAGCTGGATCAATAGCATATCTCAATGTCAAATTACTGCCTCTCCCTTAACTGACCACTGTGCTGTGACTCTAAGTCTTACCTTAAACAATAACAGACCTCCACCACTCATCATTTGGAAATTCAACAATACTCTTTTATTCAATGATTCAATGAAAGAAGTTAAACATCTCATTGCTGAAATAAACTCCCTTGAATTAACACCCTTGAATAAGTGGGAGTGGTTTAAATTCAAAGTAAAAGAAATTGCAATTAAGACTGGAAAACTCTCTGCTCAACAGAAAAGAGCCAAACAAACTGAAATTATCACTGCAATTAATTTCATGTGTGCTAAAGATAGTTTATCAAATGAAGAAAAAGAACAACTAGTGACTCTAAAAAACCAACTTGATACGTTTTTCTTAGAGAAGGCTAAGGTGCTTTTGTTCGGTCTAAGGCTCGCTGGATTGAGGAAGGTGAAAAGAATACTTCGTATTTTTTTAGTCTTGAGAAACATAGACAATCCAAAAAGAGAATTTCTAAATTAAATATAAATGGTGTCATTACTGAAGAGTCAGACAAAATTTATTCATCAATCTTTACTTTTTATTCCAAACTATACCACACAAATTTCTCTGAGCCGAGCTGTAAATCCTTTTTTGATTCAATCAAATCTGTAGGAGGAAAAATTAAGGATGAATTTAAAAGTGATATGGAAGATGATTTGATTATTGAAGAACTTGATACAGCAATCCATCAAATGGCCAAAGGGAAGTCACCTGGCCTCGACGGCCTGACTGCTGAATTTTTTATTTTCTTTTGGGTTTTATATTCGTCAATTAGTATTCAAAGCCCTTAGTGAATGTATTACAAGCCAAAATCTTTCACCCACTATGAAACGTGGCCTTATTACTCTGATCCCCAAAGCTAATAAAGACCCTCTTTTAATTGATAATTGGCGACCAATCACGTTGTTGTGTACTGATTATAAATTATTGGCCCTAGTCTATGCCAACCGATTGAATAGAGCTCTAGCTGATATTGTTAGTGAATGTCAATCTGCGTTTATCAAGGGAAGGAATATACACTTTCACACAAGACTGATCTTAGACATGATTGACTATCGGCAATTTATAGAAAACGAAAGTTTACTATTATTCCTTGATTTCTATAAAGCCTTTGACTCACTTGAACATCGCTTTATTATTGAAACACTGAAATTTTTAGGTTTTGGGGATAATTTTTGCAGAATAATCAACATGTTTTATTCAGATATAAGTAGCTCCGTTTCTTTAGGTTCAGCTGTGACTCCTAGCTTTAAAATGTCAAGGGGAATCCGCCAAGGTTGTCCAATTTCTCCAAAATTGTTCATATTAACAACACAATTACTTACTTTAGCAATAATGAATAATCCAAATTTGCAAGGAATCCAAATATTTGAAAAAGAATTCAAGATTAGCCAGTTTGCAGACGATACAGCTCTCTTCCTCAAAGACAAGACCATGGTGAGTGTTGCTCTAAATCTGATCGCTGCCTTTTCGGAGGCATCAGGTTTGTCTCTTAACCTTAAAAAGTGTGAACTGTTTCCAATCCATGCTTGTCATGAGAGCTCTATCAACTCCATTAATGTTAAATCTGAAATCAAATATTTAGGATTAACTATTACTAGAGATGTTGAGAAAATGGAAGAGCTTAACATAGAGAAACGTATCGTTGATATGAAAAAGTCTCTAAATCATTGGCTTACAAGGGATCTTACCATTTTTGGAAGAGTTCTTTTGTCTAAGGCAGAGGGTGTATCAAGACTAATTTATCCTTGTCATACTCTCTTCATTTCAAATAGAAACATCAAGAAAGCCAACTCAATTATTATCCAGTTCTTATGGCGGAACAAAGCACATTACTTGAAAAGATCTATCATGGTTAAAGAATATTGTAATGATGGTGTTAAAGCATTAAACTTTGAACCACTGATTGGATCATTTAGAGTCAGTTGGTTAAAAGCTTTTTTCTCTTCACCAGCTAGTATGTGGTTTCATATCCCTAAGACTATTTTTGACAAATTCGGGGGTCTAGATTTTTTGTTGAGATGTGATTTGCTCTATCAAAATTCCACAGCCAGTTATTACATTATTGGAAAATGATCTTCAAGCACAATTTCACCCCTCATGGATCTGTTCTGTGGAATAACAGGTCTATTCTTATTAGTAGAAAATCAATTTTTAAGTCAGAGTGGTTTAATAAAGGGGTCTTGTTTGTAACTGAAGTCTTAGACAGTAATGGAGAGCTATTGGAGCACAACACTTTTGTCAACCGGTTTAATTTATATTGTACACATCGAGATTATCATAAAGTCTGCAAAGCCATCCCTGCAGCCTTGATTCATCTGATCCGTAATGTTCAAGTTCACTCCACTGTCACTCCAACATTGCCGAGTTTACTGTTAAACAATCTAAATTTGGTCGATAAGAAATGTCATAACAAAGTTGTAACTGATGCTTTCAAATCTTGTCTTTAGGGTAGTTTTTATCAATGAAGTTTCTGTTTTACTGAATGAGGCCTTCTCCAAGTACATTAAATGGCCAATTCCACCAAAAGTCAAAGAAACTCACTTTAAGATTTGCCACAAAATTTATCCAGTGTCCAATTTTCTTTATAAACGGTTTAAGTATGAAAACTCAGGCTGTACTTTTTGTGATTGTCCTGAGGAAACTTTGGAGCATTTGTTTTTCACCTGTTCAGTCTCTCGTAAATTTTGGAGTGACATCAGAGAGTGGCTTTCCTTAAAGATTTTGGATCTTCCTGATTTTGAATTGTGTCACATATTTTATTTTGTCAAAGACTTAGATAGGAAAGTCTCAGATGTTGTAAATATTGTTTTTCTATTAGCCAAATACCATATTCATTGTAGCAAATGGAGAAAGTCAAGCCCCTGTTTCAATCATTTTTTGAATGATTTCAGAATCTACTATTCCTCGTTAAAATTGCTTAAATCTGCCATTGCAATAGAAATTTGTGCCTCTATGTCTAAATTCCTTATGTTGTAGAAATGTCTGTATCCTATTCTTATGTGTCTGATTAACCTGATTTGCCTCAATTGTACAATCCCCAAGTTAATGCATACATTGTTTTATTTTCCTATGTCATGTCACCTCTGCAAGAGTTTGATTCAATAAAAAAAAAAAAAAAAAAAAAAAAAAAAGGAGCGCAAAGGCCAAAGACCTCACTGGAGAATTGGAGAATTGGGACACCCTACTACGCACTCGCACCCATCATCGGGAACGCGCAAATGAGGGGCGCGAGGGTGGAAATGCGAGTATTGGTACTGGGCCAATAACTTTCCAGCCCTATTCTCCTAATCGCTAAGCTCTCGCGGTATCTCCCCTCTCTCTTCACGTACTTGCTAAGCTCTCGCGGTATCTCCACACTCTCTTCACGTACTTGCTAAGCTCTCGCGGTATCTCCTCTCCGTATATAAACCATCTCCCTCCGGTGCTTGGTCTTTCCCTTTCCTTTCTTTCGGTGAAGGTGCAACTGTTTTCGGTCGTCCCGAACCGGGCTCATCCGACACCCTCACCGCCACATCTGAACTGAAATCTACAGCGGCGCCATGCCTCCCAAATTCGACCCCAACGAGGTTAAGATTGGTACGTGTGACTCGAGATCATAAAGCGTTTGTCCACAGCCAAAGATGGCGTCTCTTCAGCCGGCAGCGCCGTGTGGCTTCTGTCTGCCCGGACCTGCAGCATATATTATCATGGTAATTCAAGCCTCAGGTTTAGTTTCGTTATTTGTCAAAGATGGCAAATGAAATGAGACTTGTGAGTTGTTTTTTTTCCTGTGGGGCTGATCTAGGTGAAAGATTTTGGCAGCGACCACGTGGAAGATGCTAACGTGATAATCCCGGTTAGCTGCAAGCAGTTATATGCCTTTCTATCAAGTTGTGTAAAATCATACATTGTTTCCTAATGTGTACATTTGTCCTTGGACAGAGGTTCACGTGCTTAAAACACCGCAGGATCTTGAAATGGCATAGCTTAGTTTTTATTGGCCAATACCGATAATGGATGAATTATATTGGGGTTAGGGCTAAACTGTTGGTCTGTCGCCAGAGGAAAAATATTTAAATTATAATGCCTCAAGTGAGATTTCTGTAAACGTCCAGGCAGAACCTGTTTTGAAATTCATTGGTATCGCTGTGTTCAAGCTGTTATGTCTGGTTTTGTCGTCAGTAGTCGTATGGGAGATGAGTTCAGTTTGTTATAAAAGTTATTAAAATGTATTAAGCCTGAGGATATTCCCCCAGCAGAAAGTTTTTGAATGTGCTTCATAAACTTATAGAACCAGAACATTTCTTTTGAAATTGACATGGGGAACAGATGGGGTTAACTGTCCTTTATCGAGCACTTTTAGGTGTACTTTCATGTACAAAATTTAGTGCTTTTTATACTAGGGACTAGATCGCAGACTAGTGTCAACTCATGTGCCATCAGCCCCTCCCATCTCCACACTTAACTCACTTGGCAAAGTGAAATTCAGAGATTTCTCCAACTTGTGGAGGGGAATGTCTCTACTCAGCACAGTTACGGTCTGAATTCCTACACCAGGTGAATCGATGAGCTGAAGTGTTCAAGTATGTGTACGAAGTTCAAATAGCACTAATAAAATTTAAAGGTCTCATACTACGCTTTTTGACTTTTTTTCTGGATTAAACATGAGTTTGGTCTCCCATCTAAAGCCTAGTTTATACTCGCGCGGAGCTTACGGAGGTGACGTGACGTCACTTGCGCAACGCGTTGGTCACCGCAAGGCCCTTACGTTGCCTGCCCTGCAGCATCGAAATTTTCTAACTACGTAAGGGTCGCCGCAAGGAATCTCCGCTGTGATTGGTCCGTGTGTGTGTATTGGAAGGAAGCATGAAGCGGCTGCAGCAGGGACATGGACGAGGCACTATGGAGCAGAGAGCTTTGTGCTTCGAAGGAAAAGCAGTTTGGGCTCAGAGCCTGATATACAGGAGACTGTGGACTATCTAACATATATATAACTTATAAACTGTGCAGTTGTTTGTTTTGCACTGTTCCTGTCTTTGTTTGAATCGTAGCTGCGTTTGTTGCTTTCCTCCTGCACTCGTAAATCGTTTGTTTGTCTCAGATATTTACCACTATTATTGTATTGCTGTTTGTGCTGAAAACTATTTAATAACTGTTTCCAACAAGAACTGTCTTTATTCACTGAATCACAGTTGAAATGACTTATAAAATAATGAATCCATAAAACTATCACATAAACCTGCAGTAGAAACACATGTAATGAGCTCAAACAGCTTTGTTTGCTATTGTTCTGAAGAGGACAAAGTAGCAGCGTAAATGGGACAGCTCCTGTGTGATCGCCCTCATGTGATTTGTTGTGGGATTACAACATTCTCCTCAAAACTCCGTAAGGGGAACGCGCCAGTATAACATCAATTGTGCTTACGTAAGTCCACCGCTAACGTAAGCCACGCCACGCAAGTATACTCTAGGCTTTAGACTGAGATTCTATGTGTAGCACTTCTCATGGTGCTATATTACCTTAAGTTTCTACTTTGAAATGGTTCTGTCAATGCTTATATACAGTCTGGAATTCTAGAACCTGAAATCGAAGCACTAAGACCAGTTTCCTCGCTCTATGAAACCACTCTAAATTTGTTGACCTCTGAATCTAGAAACTGTAATTTAGGGCATTTTCCTTTTAATGGGCTCTGCACGCACCACTTCTGCGGTTTTATAACGACACTTGACTTCCGGTGTGCAGGGATCGGCTTGAGTTTCACTAGAGTTCACCAGATGTTTACAAAATTTCCTAAATGCTTGAATGGGAATAAACTGGGGATGCTGGGCATTTCTGGGGCACAGCAGTGCTTTTGATAGCACTATCATAAAGTTAACTAATCTGAGTGGTCAGTCAAAGCTATTCCTCAGAGAAAGCACATCTACACTTTGGGGTCAGTGTCACACCTAAATGTATCAAATTACTAAAACGTTACAACTCTCAATGCCATAGCGCTAGCAGGCGGGAAGTAAACTAGCAGTTCTTTGCCTCCCTGTGCACATAGCACTTTACTACCAACGGGTTAAACGGGGCTTGTGGAAGCTCTCAATCTGATCCTCTTTGAACAGTGAGACTAGTGCTAAACGGGAATAACTATTTGAGTTTATTAGACTTCAGCAAAGCACAGAAGATTAACTACTCTGTGATGTTTGCAGTCTACATGAGGTGCACCGGAGGAGAAGTTGGCGCGACTTCTGCTCTTGCCCCGAAGATTGGGCCCCTGGGTCTGGTAAGTACCTCTGGATCAGCAACTGTTTTGTTTGTCCACTTTAATTAGCACATTTTAGGTGAGGCCAATTTGAACATGGACGAGCTGGAGCCTTATGGTCATTTTTTTCCTAGTTGCTTAATCCTCTAACAGGGGCTTAAAAGTCTTTCTGTGAGAGCCAAAACTCACCATGAGTTTCCCTATTGAGCAGGCGGCTTGACATTGTTCTGTATCCAATCAATGTGCATAGGTAATGGATAAAATTGAGACTGTATAAACCGATGTTCATGTCACTCTTAATTTGAAATGGCTATATCTTAAGTGATAGAGGCTTTTCTGTAAATTAAAAACCCTCTAGGCTAGGGGACTCCTGGGGGGGCTGGATCAGTTTATAACAGAATGTGACAATTAAAGCCATTTTTAGGCACTAATTTATTTTCCAGAAAGCACAATCTAATGACTCTTCCTGGATTCTTTTTTTTTTTTTTTAAGTGTCTAAAGATTGTGCTTGACCTTCCAGAGACTTTATTTAACAGCAGTATGTGTTCATGGAGCTGCTCAAAGTATATCTATTAAATGGTTCTTCAGAATTGGCGATCACATTAGCAGCAGTTTTTAGTCATGGAGAATGAAAGCCTGACATTGCAGCACCAATGGTATAGGTGACCTTTTATTAGCAGAGTAACCTCAAAAGTTGACATGGCCTTGTTGGTGGCTTACATTGTGGAAGAGATGCTGCACATTTCTACTATAGTTGCGAGATACAAACAGCGGATGTATTGGACATTATGAGCAACTATAATTTTTAAACTGTTTGAAAAAGTGCAACAAGAATTGTCCTGGCTACTTAATTTGCTTTCATGTCAATGTTAGTCATTTCAAAGAAAGTCTACAAGTTGTTAAAACTAGCTCAAATGGCATAATACATTAATTCCTTTACGCTAAGTAATCCAAAGGACATTTTCAAAGCTACGTATGTAGCGTACACACTGGTTATACAAGAACAAATGTCTGGTATAGCTGATTGCTCTGAGTATGTAGTAACATCAGTATTCTCTTCTGCAGTCTCCTAAGAAAGTTGGTGATGACATCGCCAAAGCCACCGGAGACTGGAAAGGCCTTAGGATCACCGTAAAGCTGACCATCCAGAACAGACAGGCCGCTGTAAGTCCAGAGCACCATAGGGAACTGAGTCAAACCTTTTGGCTCTCTGACCCATTGCTCATTCGGGTTGCTGACAAGTTAGGCTGTCAAGTTGTGGAAATCATCAAAATTCAGCTTGTAGGACAATAATTTAAGTTTTATCACTGTGCTACACAGGTTTTGAACTGATCTTGAAGGAATGGTAAGATCTTCTTGCCCTGCTTACAAAGTTAAGGCTGCTGTAGGGCCACTAGTTTTAAGGTTCTAGTCTTGTCTCCAGCCTTCCGCCACTATGCCAGTCTGATGTGACTGGGAATAATCCAGTGGAGGCTCAGAGAAACTCATCTTAAGGAAACAGAGCGGTCCACAACATGGGCCTTTCTGTGCCGAAAAGACTGGGACAAACTATCTAAAAGTAAAATAACATTTTTGTGTTTAGTCCACTTATAAATATTAAGAGTTCAGTTTGTTTGGCCAGCTACTGTTCAATAGCTGTCAGAGATTAAAATCTGGTATCAAAACCACATTTTGAGTAAATGCCACAACCAGATACAGTGTTCACATGGTTGGAGCTGTGAGACTTCTGATGCCACCGTGGCCTTAGACCATACAAATCACCCACGTTGTCTAGGATGAGGTGTGTGTGTAATGGCTTACTGGTTCCCTCAATTCTCTTAGGTGACAGCTTTCATTTGTCATTCATCTGTGTAGTGAAAGAATGACATGTGAAACATTGTGTCCTAAAGTGCCATATAAAACCGCTGTATTAAACCGAAGGGGCACACATACAGATGCTCCCCTCAGAATCTGCCACAGTGCCTTGGGCATGTTTTGGTCTTCAGTTTGCTTTTCACCTTCTGATTTGTAGTACTGAGTCCTGCTGTTGTAATGACCAACTAGGTTTAAACTGTACAAAGTTTTGTAGAGGATCCAGACATAATTTTGGATACTTGTATTTTTTAATTTGTTTTTCACAAATGCAATCTCTGGTTCATGCCCTTTTTAACTATCTCTGTAGATTGAGGTGGTGCCCTCTGCTTCAGCGCTGATCATCAAAGCCCTGAAGGAGCCTCCTCGTGACAGGAAGAAGGTCAAGAACAGTGAGTGTTATGGGAAATGAGGAAAAATAAGGCGTTACAGCACGTCAGCGTTGTTGCACGCGCCAGAAGTGGACGCTAGCTAACAGTTAAGGTAGTGGCTTTTTGTGTTAAGTTCTTTAATAATTACAGCTCTGCAGCCTCTGTGTCCAGAGACTTTATATAAAAGCAGTATGTGTTCATGGAGGTGCGCCATACATTTATTTCATTATTAAACTGTACTTCCGCATCGGCAAACTTGCTCGAAGCAGTTGCATAAGGTCACAGGAGCATGACCACGCATATGTTTACAAAGCACTATGTCCCCCATTGTCAACCCTGGTTTTAAGTCGTGGTCTAGCTCCTGTTTTGGCTGTTTACAGTATGTTCAGTCTGCTCGCTCAGGCCACCAATGTCCCCGTGACCACTTTGCGGCTCTGATTGGTCGCTGCACGAGCGTCCGAGGAAAGGCTCAGCAAAATGTACGTGCATTTCAACACTCGAACGCGCGTCACCATTGACTTTGCATTGAAAGCCTACAACGCGTGATCCGGTCTGAAAGTGGCTTAAATCAGTTCTCTACACTTCTCCATAGACTACAGTGAGAGTATGTACACGCAGGTGTCAACTTGTACGTGCTGTGAACACCTAAAGTCCCTTTTTCTTTTGTTGAAGCTGACTGTAATCTCTTTCAGTTAAACACAGTGGCAGCGTGACCTTCGACGAGATTGTGGCCGTCGCCCGAGCAATGAGGCCTCGCTCAATTGCTAGAGAACTGTCAGGTAAGTACGGAAGTGACATGAGATGTGGCACTACCTCAGACTGTCTGTTCCACCCCGGAGGTTACAAAGTCTCGTGTTAGTTATAGGAAGATCTTGGTTTATGTCAGTATGCGCCACTGACTGTGGCAAGAAATCGATAAAATTGGGGCGTCTAATAGAAGCAATATAAAGCTAACTATTGTAGTAATATACAGCACTTCAGATCGCAGCAGGGATGGTGCCGAACCAAGCGGCTCAATTTTCTCGTCAAAAGTAAAATGCGGAATGCTTGTTAGCATTTTTCAAAAAGTAAGCCTTCCTCCAGTGGACTTTCGGCTGAACCGCTTGTTTCGGACCATGAATCATCTCCGTGCCGGTCTGGACCAGTGTAAAATATGTACAATGAACTGCAGCAACATCTCTGGTAGAAAAAAAACAATTGAATTTGTAAAGCACAACTGCTTAGAGCTACAAGACTGTTTCCAGCACATTCAAAAGTAAAACACATATACATACTGTAGATTTGGTGAAAACCCCTCTCCAAATCAGCCACTTCACCTCTTATGCTGTAATGTGTAAGCAGACAAGGAGATTGCGATGACTGTCTGCTCACTTACTCTATAGAATTTGGTTTAACAAATGAGCATTCAGAGCCTTTCTTTGTTTGAACGGGGCCCAAAACTGGCTAGTCTATGAGCCCTTTTACTCTAAGCTGCCTTCAGTCTCCTCTGACAATAGGGGCCTCCCGCCACTATGCCAGTCTGCTGTGACTGAGTATGATCCAGTGGAGGCCAAGAGAAACTCGGCTTTAGGAAACAGAGCTGTCCACAACATGGACACGCTTTGTGCCGAAAAGACTGGGACAAACTTGAACTGTTCTGTGAGTTTCCATCTGCTCTGTAAAAAGCCTTTTGCATATGACTTGGTGTCTAGAGCTATGCTAAATTGACTGTCCAGTGATTATAATTTTATCTGAATTTGATGATTTGAGGGTGCCCTGGATCATTTAAACCCCTAATTTTTAAATCTATGGCAGGTGATCATGACCTCAGGTTGAAAGCTTTAAACTTAATCTTTTAATCAAATTTCCTGCCATGTGTAGGCTTGAAACTTGCTGAATGTTTTGTTTTGTTTGTGTTCTAAGTCCCAGTTCTGTTGCAGGGACCATAAAGGAGATCCTGGGGACTGCCCAGTCTGTGGGCTGCACCATTGATGGCCGCCACCCCCACGATGTCATTGATGACATTAACAGTGGCAAAATAGAGTGTCCGTCAGAGTGATGCTATTAAAGACTGTCAAACCATCATTGTGTGGCTTTGTTCTATAATCTTTTAAACTAATGGTTCCCAAAGATTTCCAGGGGAAAAAAGGACAAATGTATGACTCTTAAAATTTTGGATTTGATTCAAAAAGGCTACTTGTTGAATTGTTTGGAGTAGAGTGAATAATTTTAATTTAGTCCCAGATGTTGACTGCATCAATCAAAACAGTTCATCAGCAGGGGGGGTGTATATTTGAACTGATAAAGTGAATTTCATATAGCAGACCTCTGGAAATGCTGATAAGCCAGAAACATGAATTACATCCTGCCTCTATAAAACAGTGATTTTTGTATTTGAACTGATTGTTACAATGAATTTCATAGAGCAAGGCCGGATAGTTCTGGCTATCAGCAACTGCGATCTGTCGACTATCTCCCTCAGCTGTTAACCCTTTAAAGCTGCACTTTTTTATGCTTTGTTTCAGCCCTTTGCACCTGGTTGAGGGAACAAGGTTCGTTTAATGTTATTTTCTCTTTCCTGTGATAATATGTAACGTTTTTGTTTACCGTTAGGTTAGTTGTATGCTACCTTTGGCCACTAGAGGGCGTTAAAACGGCCGTTAACAGCTCTGTTGTAACAAAGGGTAATTTGAAGCAGTTTGATTACAATATATATGATAACTATTAAGCAATTAAGGGTAAGGGAATGTTGAGGTAATAAAAAAGGGAATAAGTTAAGGGATATGGTAATGAATTAAGGGTTTAAATAGAGTTTGTATGTGTCTCACTAAGTTTTCTAATTGTTGAATGTGTGAATTCTTTTAGCTCTTACGGTGTTGTTCACATACCAAAGAAACAATAAAGTTGTGAACCATCAATTTCGAGTGACCAGTCAAATCAACCGGGGACGCTACAGTAAGAGCTTGATCCTGAGGCTGGAGTGAGAACTTCATCCACAAGGTCCCAAAGCCACGGCTCCAACAAAGGTCATCTGGTATTTACGGTCTAAGGTAACATCTCATCCTCAACATAAAGGCATCTGAAGACAGTTAAGAGAACATGGAGGACAGCAAGGTTAGTGAGGAAGCGGAACCTCATCGTTCTACTCGTCCAAAGAAGGTCACAGAGAAAATGCAGTTATATCAGGAGGAGGAGGCACACAGAAAACAAAGGCTTCTTCATCTATATGAGCAATGGAAAAACCAAGTACGTATGTCACGTCAGCAACTAAAGGTAGACATTCCAACTGATCAATTAGCCCTACTCATGGATGATATAGAGAAACAGAGACAGTGTTATACAGTTATATACAGAAATCACATGGTCCCTTCAGTAAAAACAAGATTCGTAGATGCTTGTGAGGCTGTCACCATTGACCTTATGAAAGTGGCACAAGAAAGAATCTCCGGCATTGATGATTATGACAGTCATATGGTTAGGACGTGTCTCCATGAGCTCATTAAAAAGGAATATGCCCACTCAGTGTATGGTTCCTCTGCTTCTATCTCGAGCAGACACTCCTACTGTTAATTCAGTTGTAGCTGCAAAGAGAGCAGAGGCTGCAGCAGATTTAGCAGCTAAGGAAGCAGAGTATGAAGTGTTAAAGGAAGAGGAAAAACAAAAGGAAAAAATTCACCTGTTAAATTGTGAATTAGAGACTAAAGGTGGAAAAGTAAAGTCTGCTCAAGCTAGAATAAGAGTTTATGATGAAGAAATAAATAATGAAAACGTTGTCCACTGTAAAGTCAAACAGATCAGTTCAGCAGGACCCCAAGGTTTCAACTCCTGCTACAATGTTGAATAGTTGCACAGTGTCAACTTCACCTCCACAAGCAGATGTGTTATGCTTAGCACAAGCCATTCAAGATAGCATTGCAATGAACTGACTCCCAATGCCAGAGCCCTCCATTTTCACAGGTGACCCAATACACTTCATTGAGTGGAAAGCTTCCTTCACCGCACTCATTGATAAAAAGAACATCTCACCTGCTGACAAATTGCACTATTTAAGAAAATATGTTGGAGGCACAGCGCGGAAATCACTTGATGGCATATTTTACAGAACTGACAGTGATGCATACAAGGATGCATGGGAACGTCTCAACCAAAGGTACGGACAGTCTTTTGTCATACAACGAGCGTTCAGAGAAAAACTTACAAATTGGCATAAAATACAAACCAAAGACGCCACAGGATTTAGAGACTTTTCTGATTTCATACAAACATGTCACGAGGCCATGCCCCACATTAAAGGTTTAAGTATTCTCAATGATTGTGAGGAGAACCAAAAACTTGTGCAGAAGCTTCCAGACTGGGCAGCTGCAAGGTGGAATCGACAAGCCACCCAGGTAATGAAGGACAGTGGTGAGTTTCCCAGTTTCAAGGATTTTGCCCAGTTCATTTCATCTGAAGCAGAAATTGTGTGCAATCACTTCCTTCCATGCACTCCGCTCATCAGACACGACAAATAAAACAAATCTGAGGGAGAAAACATCAGCATGCAATGTCCTGCACGCACAAACAGCAACAGGGACTGACAGTTCAAAGGAATATAAGCCAATTACAAAACTGCTATGTTTACTCTGTCAAGAAGAAGATCATAAGCTTCACAATTGCCCACAGTTTAAAGGTGGATCACTTGATGATAGGAGAAAGTACATCAAGGAGAAGAGACTGTGCTATGGATGTCTAAAACCTGGTCACAGTGCAAAGGATTGTCGCTACAGACTTGTGTGTGAAATGTGTCAAAAGAAACACCCCACTTGTCTACACGACTTTAACTATAAAAATGACAATACAAGTACAAGTCAACTCCAAAGTCAATGCAACACAGAGCAAGCCGCAACTTCCTTGTCTCAACACAGAAACTAATGACCAAAGTGCAAACACTTCAATGATCGTACCAGTTTGGGTTTCCTCAGAGCACCATCCTGGAACAGAACAACTTGTCTATGCACTTTTAGACACCCAAAGTGACACAGTGTTCATAGATGAAGATGTTTCAAACAGTGTCAAAGCTAAGTTCACTCCAATACGGTTAAGGCTGACTACAATGCTTGGTAAAGATACTGTTATGCCAAGTAAACGTGTCACAGGTCTCAAGATCAGAGGCTACAACTCCGCCGAATTCATTGAACTCCCTCCTGCTTACACAAAGGACTGTATCCCAGTGAATCGCTCTCACATTCCTACCTGTGACACAGCAAGGCAATGGAATCATCTCGTGGAATTAGTAAACGAGATTCCCCCACAGTTAGACTGTGAAGTAGGCCTGTTAATTGGCTACAGTTGTTCCAAGGCCCTGGCTCCAAGGCAGGTTATCTTGGGAGGAGAGAACGAGCCGTATGCAGTTCGCACAGCATTAGGGTGGAGTATTGTAGGTCCAACAGTAACTCACACTGACAATGTAAGCAGCTCCACAGTATGTCATAGAGTCTCGACCAAAGAGCTCCCCGTAGTGACGCCGGCAGATGCTCTCAAGATTCTCAACAGTGACTTCAAGGATGAAAACAAGGATGAAAGTTCAGTGTCACAAGACGACATTCTCTTTCTAAAAACACAAAGGGAAAAGATAAGATTCAACAACTCCCCGCAGCAGAGGAGATATGTCCCTTCAGATCAAAACCCTGCGGACATTGCATCCCGCGGCTCAAGTGCAAGTGAGCTCATCACATCAGACTGGTTTAAAGGAAGCCAGCTTTTGTGGAAGAAGGAAATAACCCCTGCTACAGACATTGGAAAGGACATCTCCCTCGGAGATCCAGAGGTCAAAAAGGTACAAGTAAGGAACACACTCATAACGGAACACTTAAGTTTATCAGACAGACTGAAAGGATTTTCTTCATGGTACAAAGCCACTCAATCCATCGCTCGTCTCATTCGCTTGGTAAAAAGAGACAAAACGACCAACCACAGTACAGTACAAGAAAGAGGGAAAGCCCAATGTATCATCCAAAAGGACCTGCAAGCTACTGTCTATGCAGAAGAGATAAGGCTGCTCAAAAAGGGAAAGTCACTTTCTCACAAAAGCAAACTCTATAAGATTGATGCTTTTCTCAACAGCGATGGACTCCTTAAGGTCGGAGGAAGGATGAAACATGCAGCATTCTCAAGCTCCTTAAAGCATCCTGTCATAGTACCAAAGAATCACCACATCACCCAACTGTTGATAGGACATTTCCACAATAAAGTTCAGCATCAAGGAAAAGGACGGACAATTAACGAGATCAGATTAAATAGATTTTGGATTCCCTACATCAACAAAACCGTAGCATCCGTCTTGCATCATTGTGTAAAAGGCCGTAATCAAGAAAGAAACACAGAGGAGCAAAGGATGGCTGATCATCAGAGCGATTAGACCCATCTCCACCATTCACATACTATGGAATGGACTGTTTTGGTCCCTTTCTATTTCAACAAGGCAGAAATGGCACACTCAAAGGAAAAACTTGAAGGTTGAAGATATTGTCATGGAAAAGGCAGAGGATTTACCCCGCAATGAATGGAGATTAGCACGAGTAATGGACACAGTAATTGACCAAGATGGACTCGTAAGAAAAGTTAAAATTCGTTATGGAGAAAGGAACATTGAGAAAGGACATTCTTCAGGAAGGCAGTCAATTGTTGACTGCCCTGTGCAGAAACTGGTTTTGCTTCTAGAGACTGAGAAACAAAACTGTTTTGCTTACGGACTAATGTGTGGTTACCTTAGGAAATCATTATCGCTCTGTGTTTTTGGTTTATTTATTAAGCTCTAATGATTTGGTGGGAGTGTAAATGACTTAATTAATATTTTTCCATTATTTATTACTGTTATTTATTGTATGATCAACAGTTTATTTGTTGTGCATGGCCACATGTCGTTGCCTAGCAACGGGAGAAGAAAGTGGTAGTTGGACCAAAAGGTTGTGTGCTACAGCTCTTGGTTCTTGACAGTTTTCTGTCAAGGTTTTTTATGGTTTGTTTCAGCCCTTTGCACCTGGTTGATGAGGGAACAAGGTTCGTTTAATGTTGTTATTA